GGGAGGAGGAGGAGGAGGAGGGGGAGGAGGAGAAGGAGGAGGAGGAGGAGGAGGAAAAGAAGAAGAAAAAGAAGAAGAACAACAACAACAATAACAACAACTACAAGCTACAAGAACAAGAACAAGAACAAGAAGAATGATGATGATGGTAAAATAAATGAAAAAAGCATCTGTCTGGTTCTCAGCAGTCAGTGTAAAAGTAAAACAAAGGTATTATTTGTCACGACATGTTGGATGGAATCAGGTGCCAGTCAATGTTTAAGCTTATTAGATCAATATCATCTTAAAGCCATAATATAGTAATAGTAGCCTGACTATAGCATTTATGAAGTTAACGATATCATCTTCAAGCCTTGCATTTGGTGGAATGATACCCACTTCAAAATAATATGCTACTTTCAATAGAAGTCGGGATATTTGAGATTGAGGGAGGTGGGAGTACTTTAGTGTCAGAAATAAAATTAGCTGGAAAATGGACGTCAAATTTTTGGGACTTCCAAAGCTGTAGTGTTACAATTAATATAAATTTACACTTTATGTGCCCTTGATCAACAGGTTTTCTTTCAGTAAAAACCCAGCAGACATAATAAGCTTTTAAATGGACATTAAAGGTGTTGAGCTGCACGCCCCTCCCCCCTCACCCCCCTCCCCCACCAACAACAAAAATCAATAAAAACTGCCCAGCCGCGGAAAATTTTATATCATTATCAGTTTCTTCGATTTCTTTATTTTCATGAGAGCTTGATCTCACCACAATGAAACACATTTTATTTCCCCCAAATCATGGTTTGCACAATAACGTGCATTCATGAAAATGTGTCCCACTCTAGTACGGTACTACTAGTAGAGATAAATGGAACTTGAAGTACAAAAATAATGAACTATGCAGTCAAAGTTATGGTAAATAGACAATTTTACCTTCACCACTCTCATTCAATTTAACATAATATGGAAATACTTTCACAGATGAAGATCAGAATGCTTCTTGTAAAACGTGTCTGAGGTATTTCTTGTCGAGAACAGGGGAAATCAAGATGTGGTATCAGGAAACATGATCAAAACTCATAAAGATCAAAGTGCATCTCTGCTGCTTATGTTTTTATTAGAGTTTTATGGCACTTGCAACTCAAATTGGTCTTAAAAGAGTACCAAAGTTTAAAGGTGTTACCTAGGAGTTTATAAACGAGTAAAGAAAAGAGTGGGTGATGAGCATGATAGATATATTTTTAAACAAAGATAGGGCAAACCACACCAGAGTACCTGCCAGCCATCCACGAGTATAATGTTACATGTTGAAGGGAAGATATGCCCTAAAGAAGTAGGTAGATGGGTCAGGGGATATGGCAAGCAGAGTGAAAATGATGTGTTATTTTTGTTGTTGTTGTTGTTGCTGTTGTTGTTATTGTTATTGTTGTTGTTGTTGTGGTTGATGTTGTTGCTGTTGTTGTTGTTATTTTTGTTGTGTTGTTGTTGTTGTTGTTGTTGTTGTTGTTGTTGTTGTCGTTGTTGTTGTTGTTGTTCTTCTTCTTCTTCTTCTTCTTCTTCTTCTTCTTCTTCTTCTTCTTCTTCTT